ACATTTTCACCGCGTGACCCAAATTTGTTTACCCCATTACAAGAGTTTTTACTTACTTCCCATTTGAGTGGAGGTGTCCTGAAATTAATGAAGACATCGTTTGCTCGGCACAACTCATGCAGAACCTATGAATTCAAAAATAGTGAATTCAAATCACGCATTCAAATATATGGGCAGAGTTAATGCAATCACCGGTTGTAAACCGAGTAGGAATCACCATTTTTTTCACAAATTCCATAATCCGATATTTTACGACTTTACGGTGACTTGGATTTTTATGAAAGGAACTTCTGTTTGGATATGCATATCACGCCTGGTTTTCAACAACGCGGAGAATTTCCCGTTTTGGGGGAGACAAACTGCTCGGTGTCTTTCGAAATATCCACTTTACCCACGACTATTGTGTATTCGTTTGTCGCATAAAGCTGTACAGAAAACGGTAATGAGCTAATGCATGTGCAATCTCAGCCTTTAGACTTGCCTCGGAACGCTTTCCCCCAGCATAAAGTTCTTCATTTTTATGGGACAAAAGAATAAATTTCATTCTCCTCGTTCCTGGTGAATTAATGCTCCTCAAAATAAGATGGAAATCAATCCTAGGGGTTATTGAGATCAATACATTCAGGTTGATGGACGAATTATTGTGGAATTAACTGTCAAAGAAACAAGTGGAAAAGTTTCTCCTGAATTATTCTGCAGATTATAATTCTATTAATTATTTTTTACAATCTTAATTTAACGTTTCAGATCAGGCCCTGGGACAGGGATAGAAAAAATTCTTCGTCTTCATATTTTTGAAATTCGAAGGCTTCATCTCATCGACGACGGATCAATTAATAGGAACGTATCATTCTCTCTTGACATCAATCAAAAACCATTGACAACCCGCGGAAAAGCTTCCCCGAAGCTTAATCCAATGGCGTAACTGAGTTATCCACACATCCAGTTATTACATTACCTTATTGCGCACATACCGCGATAAACCACCGGAATGGTGGAATACTAAATACCACTGAATGATCATGTGCACCGCGGTTGTTGCCCTCAACCCCTCTGCAATTTAGGAGACATGAAGTCATGAATTCGTCTCGCGATCGTCATCGCATTGATCATCCCTGAAACTGTGCACCAACTATTTTAATTGATCAGCAATATCTCATTCTATCCCTCGACTTGCGCAATAATTCGAGCATCAATCCTGTTCTGCAATGGTAAACTAGGATTTATTTAATTGTTTAGTCAGTACATTATATATATATCTGTCAAATTATTTATAGCAATGTTCATGTAGTTGTCATGTTATCCGATTTTTTGATGACAAAATTTCTGGCAGTACTCCAGGGAATTGAAAAAAAATTTGAAAATTTTCTATTTGAATGTAATTTTTTTTACTATCACATCTCGAAGGCGTATATTCTCTTTCCCAATGATCGGCTTATTTCACATTTATCGGATTGATATTTATCGCTCCAGTTGTGCCCCTGCAAACAACTCGGGGACGTGATTGCGAGAAGTGGAAACTAGATGCAGAAAACACGTTTTCTGAATCTCGATTCTCATCGGAGAGCAAAAAGCACATTAGGAGAAACTATTTGCATGAAATTGCGATTTCTGCGGTGACAGCAGATGAAATCGAAAGTATTTATTAGACTGCAAACGTTTGTTATTAATATCGACCACAGAAATTCGCTCGAAGAAATAAAATCGGAGAAAGAAGGAAATTTTGATAGAAAGTCGTACAAAGGGAAGAATTAGGAATGTTTCATTCAATCTGGATATGTAATGTTATTTATTTTTTGTCTCGGCTCCAGCGGTGTTACTAAAAATATTATTATTTTCCCCAATAGTAATTTCTCGACAAAACGAATGAACCGATGACATCAATTTCCGGTCTCTTGTCATTTCTTCTTGAAGCCTTAAGACTTAAGACCCCAAAACTCTTTTCATGATATTTTCCGATTACTTCGGCGGTATTTAAGAGTTCTACAATTCTTCTTTTGAATTATGGTATCAATGGCGAGAATTTCCGGTTTATTTATTTCTTATCGTATTATCTACAATCTCAATTCATCAGAAATTTCCAAGAAAATTCAACTATTCAAATCCGCTGATTCATTTCGTGATTCAACGAAGAAAATGTTTTTCTATTTTTAAACTCACATTTTCTACATTTTCCAATTCAAAATGGAGAATAAAATATACATAAATTTTTAATGTGACTAAACAATATAATGTTATTTGCAAAATAACAATTCGATTTCGCACAATTCAAAGCTCGCGATTTTACGGCGCCACCTGTGGGATTATAATTAATTTCCTTGAAATAAACTACAGGAGTTCTTTTTACCCAATGAGTTTCGACAGTACACGATAAGTTACCACCTGAGATAACCCTTTCTAATTTTTCATAATTCATCTAGAATTATTAACAAGAAATCGCCATCTGCCGTGTGCGAATTGCATCAATCCATTGATTAAAGGGAATTCCCCGTTTTTGTCATCAATATCGCCTTAATAATCGATATATTAATGTTAATTTTAAAGTCCATTAATTTCAATGCATGGGAATAGATTAACCGTTTAACATTTTAGAACCCGGTTAGTAACCTAACTGGGGCTTTCATAATGATGATTGCCTTTCCCTTAATTTAGCAATGGAAAAAAAGCAGAACGAAAAGGGGGAAAAACCGGAAAAAGATTAGCCGAGTAAATCAGCATCATGGAGAGATTGGCATTAGATGCAGTATTTCATAATAGACCTCATCACTTCGGGCAAAAAAAAGTAAATATTACTCATTTCTATTTCACGTGAATGTAATTTATTCCATTCTTGCGCAGAGTTCTGGGCCACATTCGTACACTTTCTCACGTACGCTCATTCAATCAGGGAAATGTGTGATTTATTTATGGAAATGATTATTGGATAATCCAGTGAATAAAGAATATTTATTGAAGGCATCCATTTTCGGGTCAGAAAAAAAAATCGTGGCCTTTGTGGAGGAAATTATCGAAACAGTTTATCACTTGTGTTTTATTTTTGAAAAATGCAGGAAATCGTTAGAATGACAGAAAT